CGATCCGTGATCATTTGAAGCGCCTTTGAACTGTAACGGATATCGGCGCTATATAAATAATACGTATTATTATTATTAAAATGCTYAGGTTCCCGAGATATTTTTATTTTTAACTTAAGCTTAAAAGTTCGTATTGTGTCACGAAATAGCAGTTTCGCATATGAATCGATAATTTCCAAGATGGTCGCCTACTCGTCAAATGCCCGCCCGTCTGCTCCTAAATCAGAGTCAAATTCCCCACTGTACGGAGGTAAAGTCGTGTCAAATGGCCGGGATTTGCCCGGGGGGGGGGGATACCTTTGGAATTGACTCATACATTATCGGCGAAGTGTCCGCCATCTTGGATTCTTGAGAAAAGTTTTCAGTTCGAGAGAGACTGCAAACTAATAGATATGGCTTCCTGTGGTTCGAGAGAGACTGGAAACTGCAACACGACAGATCTATAGCTGGCTAGCCACAGCTGGCCCGCTAATAACGAGAAATACACCGATGATTGGAGATGGATTTCGYCCGAAATATTTGTATCAAGTAGCTTCTCGTTATTTTATMTCTAAACAAGATGAGCAACTAAAAGCAACAATAWTAATAACAACAACAAYAATAATAACATCAAAAACAACAATTGTAAGATTTTATYTTTGCTGTGTAACATGATAACATGGTTTTTGCTGTCCTCAATTATTTTATTCTGTGATAATACTATTTGACTACCTGACTCTTAGATCTCAGAAATTAAAAAAAAATAGAGCTCTTATTAATGCATATAGTTGGATATTTTTAATTGCTTGTTTCAATGGCTATATCGTGTATTTTCCTGATTACRCAATTTTAACGACATTTAGTTTAATTTTTCATAATTAACAAGTTTGTGATCACCAATGCTTGACCTGATATAATTAGTGTCTGTCTTTGGGGGTAATTCGTAGGCCGTGTTTTGATCTGTGTAATGGATTTCCTGTCCAACGTGCCGATACCCAATCAATTTTGGTGGGAGAACAGTCACAAGATCTTTCTTGTATGTCACTCTTAAATTCATTGATTTTAGGGTTTTGTCAGCATATTCAGAAAACCCTTTGTTCCCAACTCTTGGTGACCCAAAGGTTATCAAATCGGTATTATATCCGGCTTTTGCTAATTCAACGGCGGCTAAAGTTGCCAGTGCTCCACCTAGCGAGTGTCCTGTGACGATCACTTTTGAATTGGGGTGTTTATGATGCAGAGCACTGACTCTTGCCAACATCTGCATATTCACCGAGTTAAAAGTTTTCAAAAATCCCTTATGRGTTTTGCACCCCTGGCAGTTTTGATAAGCGGTTTTCAAAAAWTTAGCATTATTGACCCAACCATTAATGTYAGCTGTTCCTCGAAACGCTACAACGATAGCATTTCCCTTATATCTAACAAAACCAAGAACCCTGTTGTTATTGTCAGTCAATCCTGAACCATTTACAGCAGGATTATACTTTGCTTCGGCTGCATACTTGACAACCTTTTTGATTTCACTTTTGATAACAGTATCTCTGTTTGGTGCAAYTGGTGGTTGTGATGGGTTTGGACAAAAGGAACCAGATGGACAAGAAAAGCATTTGGTGGATTCCGCAGGAGAGTAGGACCCAGGAATGCATAGTATTGGTGGTGAGTCGACATAAGGGCATTTGCTTCCAGCAGGACAAGGCTCACATTTAGTTGAGCCAATTTTAAGACTATAGTGTCCATCCTCACACCAATTACAAGATTGTTGACCAAGAAGATTTTGAAATTGTCCTTTTTGACATTTCACTGGTGCTGTGTCTACGTGTTTACAACTATGTCCAACGGGACAAATAATGCATTCTGATTGTCCACGTTGAATGTTGTATTCTCCCTTACTGCACCATTTGCAATACCTTTGTCCTTTTTGGTCTTGGTACATTCCCTTGGGGCATTTTACCGGTAGCTTATCTATACTATAACATCTGTGGCCAACAGGACAGATATCACACTTGGTTGATCGTCCAATTTGAATGTTGTATTTGCCCTTTTTGCACCATACGCAATACCTTTGTCCTGTTTGGTCTTGGTACATTCCCTTGGGGCATTTTACCGGTAGCTCATCTAAACTATAACATCTGTGGCCAACAGGACAGATATCACACTTGGTTGATCGTCCAATTTGAACGTTGAATTCGCCCCTTTTGCACCATTTGCAATACCTTTGTCCTGTTTGATCTTGGTACCGTCCCTTGGTGCAATTTACCGGTAGCTTATCTATACTATAACAACTGTGGCCAGCAGGACAGATATCGCACTTGGTTGATCGTCCAAGGTTAACATTGTATTCGCCTTTATTGCACCACTTGCAAAAGCTTTGTCCACTTTGGTCTTGGTATCTTCCTTTAGAGCATTGGTAGCATTTGGAACCATATGACGAGATGTACGACCCAGCAGGACAAAGCAAAGTATAACCTTGTTTTATTAGAATCGAGAAGACGACAAGCGTGTACAAATTCATCGTTATATTGTTTAGATTATGGTCAAGCCACCACCGTCAAGCACGGTCTAGGATGATCAGCACTCGGAATTATATATCAAGGGGTATCACCGAACAATGTCATCCTCGCGGAAGTGTCACTCATCGGTTATTGTGACCTTGGAACGTGTGCTAACATCCCTGCAGACATGAAAACAAACAGTTTGGAACAAGTTTGAACCACGGCCAAGAATATTCATAGTTAGTACGGAACAAAAAATTATCTCTATTGAAAAATAATCAAGCAAACCAGATGAACGACATAAATAAATACATAACGAGTGGGCTCTCTGTAAAATCAGAGAATAACCGTTTTGCCTTGTAACCAAGAAAAKATTTTTGCGAGATTTTTGGAATATTTTTAACACAATTGCACCAATCTAGCATCCTGAGTCTTTGWTTTATCATCCAGCCCCGAAAACTCTGAGATAATGAAATATCTGCGAATTTTTATTGGTTTTCAAATTTCCCCGGAAGTGAAATAACACGCAAAAAACATTCATATCCATGCTTTACCTCAATACGCAAACTTAGATTCTTGCTTTAAAACAACTTATTAAGCCACAG